GTGCTGACGTCTATTAAGCTTATAGACACTTGGATGTAACGCTGATGTTGGTCATAAGGGTTGGTCAATATGTTAGTTGTGCAGTGCAGGTTATGTGCATTGTGCCACCAAATGCGATCACTGTGAGAAGGCATAAAGGTGTATATTTATATGGGTACCTGTCTCATGTAAAGGAGAGCATGTGTTGTGTAGCATGAGACTTTGTGTTGAGAGATTTCTATTTTATTGTTATTTTTGTGTTGTATTTGAGGAGCTGCAGAGCGGAGGGCAAAACAAATTTCCCTTCGGGGTCAATAAAGTTTATCTTATGTTTGTTAACTTAATCTAAAAATACTGTCCAATCAGGAGCAATCAGCTAAACAGGACCTCACAGAAGAAGTTGTTCATTTGTGATCTTAAATGAACTTTTTCATGTGAGTCTCTGTTTTCCAAAGATCCTCCAAAAAGTCACACAGACTTGTGAACTCAGCACAGAAACCAATGCTGCGTTCCTGACGGCTCTGAACTCAGAAGTTTTTCCAAGTTGAAATATCTGACTTCCGACCTCAAAGCGCTCCAGGTGCATGATGGTGCATGACACTGAAAGTCAAAAAAAAACAACATGTCTGACTGAGACAAACTGATGTTTCTTTGTCAAGTGTTGAACAGTTGAACCTTTAGGAGGACTTTGGTGTTGACTATGGTTGTTGATGAAAACAAATGACATAAATGTAAGTTAGAATATACTGTTATGGCGCTAAAGGTGCTGTGAAAAATTTGCTTCACATCACGTTAAAAGGTCATGTTGTGATTTTTGGCCTTTTCCCTTTTTTGTAGTGTCATCAGTGTAACCAAAAGCAAAAACTAGTCTGGAGATGTGATAAAACATTTTCACCTGCTAACCAGTAATGATAACAGTGGTAACAGTAACTAGATGACTTAATAATGAACAGTGAGACTCGTGAAACATGGAGTTAAAACTAAACTACTGTTCAAAACAGCGAGGTGTCGTGGAGGGTGAAAACACACTTCAGGTGCATCTTTTAAGAAGCACTTTAAGTCCAGAACCATTTTTGTCCCCAGTGTTTCTGCAGTGATTTAGCTCATTGGGATCCTAATCCAAAAAACACTTTTATTACTTACTTCTACACAACATGTGTCGGGGTTGGCGTTGACCTGGAAGGGGCCGTCTTGTAGGAGGAGGACCACCAGCTACTTGCTGAGCGTGAAGGTGGTGACAGTCTGACTGGAGCTACATGGCGTGCGGCGTTGGTGAACGTCGTGTCAGCACTTCAGGAGGCCCCTGTAGACCTCAACTACTTTGCTCATGTGAATGCTGTGATGGATGTCTGGCTGAGGAGCAGCTGCCTGTTGAATCTAAGCTGACCTGACCTCCAACTACACAACTGAAGCGTATTTCTAACTCCTAGTTTATTCCCAACGGTGAATTATCAGAAATACATGTTCAGAGTAGTGTCTTTATCTATGACAGCTGCGGTCGGCAACATCCGAGAAACCAGCAAGAGTCAGCTACATTTTAAAAGTACCCAACCCCTCCCTTCAGGCCCCCCTCCAAAACCTATAAATCCCCCAAAACACATGTTCATGTGCAACAATCGCACAAGCAGAGTGCACTGAGGTAGGTATGTCATCAAGTAAATAACTTGTAATTATCCAGTTAAAAGTCACCAGCTCTATTTCCAGGATACAAACTACATCAAATTAATTATCAAAACACCTTTTCTGAACAAACCTGTAGGTGCAGTTGTCTGAAATGGTCACTAGGGGTCAGGCTAGGACCATGATGGTGAAACATGAGCTACAGCGCTGCTTGTTTTCATAAAGTTAATAGAAAACAAAAACATGTTCTTGTGTAACTATATTTTTTGAAAAGATGATCATCAAGTTAAAGAACCACTGGAAGAGCCGAGAACTTTCTCCTTTTGTCTGCAGACCTGAAACATCGGCAGGACTGAGTTTATGTTACTCAACTGCTCCACCTTCACTAAAAGATAGGCTACCTTTTGTCTCTTTTAGTAGCTTTCCACTCTGAGATACTTGGTGACAGGACTTGTTTCATTTTCCGTTACAGGAAAGTAATGAAGAGCTTCATTGTGCTTCTAATAATTACGATCTACATAAGCGGTCCCACAAAGCTGGTTATCAACTCAGTAAATCAACCCAGGGTTTCCTAATGCAGCCAGCAGCGCGTTCACATTTAAGAGGCGGTGTTAGCAGCAGATGACCAATCACAGACTTGCAAGTCTACTGGCATCAGAGCGTCATATTTTACAGAGGAAGAACAAACTATGACACTATAGAAATACGACATAGTCGTAAGTAGCACAGCTGCAGCTGCGTTGATTTGAAGTGTTCTTATGAGCTGTATGAAAATATCAGCCTCTTTCAGCTCGGCTGTGTGTCCACATTAAAAGACTCGGCACTGAATAATTGGTCGTTCCAGCTCACTTCAAAAATGAGATTAATTTATTTAACACACTCAAACGTGTTCCAAACATTGATCTAAATTAACTTCATAAAGCAACGAAACGAAAAATCCATTCATGCCATAAAATGTGCTCAAATAGTGGCTGAAAGGCGCCACATCGCAAAAGGTGCGGCGGGACATGAAGTCACAGTCTGTGCGATAGACTTTAAGGTGGATACTAACCTAAAATGAATAGCCTGGTTCATATTAAACCACAGCAAACATAAAGCAGCCTATAGGCTAAAACAGTCTGTGGGATTTTCTACAGATGGTGATGTCATTTTCTAGAGAGCTGATTGGTCATTAAGCTGCGTTTTCATAGCCTTGGGCCCAATCCCAATGTCCCCCTAATGAATAAACTAGGTGTGTAATAAGGTGATCCTCTTATTTTACGTGTTCTATATATCATGAAGTGTTTCTTTGTGAATGTAGGCATACCATCTCACCAGATATGCCAGGCTGGACACCCCTGTGCCGGTCCTCAGGACCTACATGGATGTGGAGCGAGACATGAGGATCGACTTTAGGATGTCGAGGCAGGCATTTCAACGGCCTTCTAAATCTGTTGCACCAGGAGAGGGATCATGGCTGGGGACATAATTTAGAGGTCCTTATTTTTGTTTATTGGCTGGCCCATGGGGTATCTTATCGAGTTGAATTGCAAAGGAGATTCACAGATGCAAGTCTAAGGTCATCTTCTTCCCTAGTCCAAACACTCAGCTGGCACAGCATGAGGCCTTTAATAAGGCTGTGGGGGGCATAGATGGCTGTCACATACGCATTAAACCACTCAAACATAACAAATTGGATTATTTTAACCACAAATTTCACTGCATTCAACTTCAAGGCATCTGTGACTCATCTGGGAGATTTCAGGACATTTTGTTGGTTAATGGAGGTTCAGTACATGACACACGGATTTTAAGAAACAGTCCTGTTTATGTCCATTCCCTGTACCCCCCACCTGGATTTTCTCTCTTGGGAGATGGAGGCTACCCTTGTCTTGAGCTTCCAATTTCCATAATAAGCCCTTTCAGACACCCAGTACAAGGGAGGATGCAGGAACACTTTAATGCAAAGCATGGCAAGGCCCGTTCCATCATCGAGAGGGCATTTGGGGTCATAAAGGCACGTTGGTGGGTCACCTTATTCAAGGCACTGGAGGTTAAGCCAAAATTCTGCTCAGAAGTGGCCCTGGCCTGCTTGTTCCTCCACAATGTCTGCCTTACACGTGGAGACATCTTGGAAGAGCCAGAACTCCAGCCTGAAGAACCCCAGCATTCATGCTAGATATCTACAGTATCTATAAGAAAACTAAGAGACTGTTTAAAGCAACTCATGTTTAATGTCATGCAGTTTTTAACTGAGGAATGATTTCTTTTAATGAACAGAAATCTATAATGTATAATTATAATGCATAATATTCAATACTCCTCTTTTCCTGCCTTTTAGTGTACTCCTTTAATTACTCCAGGACCTCTCTTTTTTTGGGTTTGGGCCTTTTGAAACCCTCAGGCAGGCAATGGGTAGTGGATGGCCCTGGAGCAGAGGTACTGGCCACCTCATCAGGATCCTCTGCAGCATCTGATCAACAGCTGTGGCGATAATATTCAGAGGCCTGATGGAGTCCCTCTGCCCCAGTGCTTTGTGCATCGCCTCGAAAAAAAGGCCATTTGCAGCTGTCACCTCTCCGCCCCCTGTCCGCAATCCTGTCATTGGTAATATCAGGTCCTGTGTAAAAGGTGCAAACAGATTATATAGTCCAGAGAAGCAAAGTTGGGGGTCCGTTGTGTGAAGAAAATGCTAATGTCAACGCAAGAGCTCTAGGTCTACTGCAGTCGGAGTAGGCTAATGCACACAGTTTATGGCTAAATAATCATAAACTGACATTTCTAAGTTTACCTGCTGAACGCTTACTCAAATCCATGAGCAGAAGCTTGTCTGTGGCCAGTAAATTGAGCCTCGTGCTCCATCCGCAGATGAATAAATTGAAGGGTCTGTTGTTCCCGTCCCTGTTGTAAACAAAATAGTAGCCTAATGTTGTTGGATCAATTTTGATGTAAGCCTATTTGTAAACTTTTTAATCTGCTGCTTATGTCTCATCTTTTATCTTAGCTCTTGGTCCTGTGTTTTAGTTCTCTGTCTTTGTTCCCAGTCCTGTACCTCGGTAATGTTAGTATTTACTTCTTGTTCCTCGTCTGCATTATTTTAGTTTAGTCTGCTCTGTATTCTGTGTCTTAGCTCCTCGTTCTGTGTCTCGGTTCATGTCTTAGTGTTTTGGGTTCTGTCCTGTGTCCAGTATCAGTTATATAGTCTGTTGTGTTTTGGGGTTCACTCATGTCCGTCTTCTTGATGCCTTAGTTTCCAGTTCAGTGTTTTACTTCGCTTCTGTCTGTGTTCCTTGTTGGTGTTGGTGCTTGTTTCTTGATTCATTTATATTTATTCCTCTGATCTGTTATGTGTTCAGTAACCTGTGTCATGTCTATTCCCTCCAGTATCCCTCTGCCTGACTGTCTCTCTGCCGTCTCTCTGCCTGCCTCGTTAGCCTCATGTCTGTCACCTGTGTTGCTCCCGCCCTGCTCGTCATCCCTGGTATATATGTGTGGTCTTTCTGTTCAGCCCTTATCCGGTCGTTGTTTGTGTTACCTTCTGTGTGTGGATTTCCCAGTGTTAAGTCTTGTTGCCTGTCTTCCTCGTCGTGTCTCTCTGTTTCCCTGCTCATGTCAGATTTTCACCTGTTTGGATAACCCGTTTTTGGACTCTGTTGATCAGCCACTCTGCTTGTAAGTGTGCTCGCCTGTATTAAACCCCATTCAACTGTACCTCCTCCGCCTTGCGTCCTGCGTTTGGGTCCTCCAACCTGCCTTACCACCACTTACCGTAACAGAATGACAGGAACATACATGGACCCAGCGGACGCAAAAATGGAAAGAGAGGTTCCTGGATGTCTTGGCCGAATCGCGGACCATCAGGCAGTTTGTGTCAAGCCGCAAATCCCGGCAAGCCGCTCTCACCAGGGCCCACCGGGAGGCGGCCGCAAAGCCATGGTTGCGGCGTCGGTTGCCTAGGTACCCACACTGGCTACCCTGCAGCTAACCCACTGCCTGTTCCCCGGCCTGCTAGCGCTGCTAGCCCCCCAGCCTTTTCCTTGGCCTGCTAGCGCTGCTAGCCACAAGCCTGATCTGTCGGTCTCCAGCTCGGCTAGCGCTGCTAGCTCCAGGCCGTCTGTTCCCCGGCCTACTAGCGCTCCAGCGGCTAGCCATCCGCCTGGCCTGCCCGTCTCCCTGCCCGACCCCCCTAACAAGGACTCTGGGACTATGACTCTCCAGGCCTTCTTTCCCATGAAGGCCAGGGAGTCAGAGGCACTGGCAGAGGACAAATGTAACGACAGCAGACACGCCTTCATGCAGTTCACATAATAACGTCTGTAATGTGATGAACAAAGATCCTACAGCTGATTTCTGCAGCTGCTGCTTCAAATCTAAAGGTTCAGTCTAAAATGGTCACAGTGACAGGAGACAACTCTGTGCTTTTAGATGAGAAATGAGGAGTTTCTGAGTGTCAGACTGCAGCTAAAAAGTAAATTTTTAATTTGAGTTTATGTGGAGTCTAAACTGAATTACTGTGACTCAGATCTGCTGTTTCTTTGTTTTGGTTTTATCAGCAGGAAGAGAAAACAATGTATAGCGTTCAAACTGAAGTACAGCAGATAAAACTGGTCACATTTAGATGATGAGCTGTGTTGTGATCAACATGTTGCCAACAGACAGACGTCATGTTGAATAATAATAAATGTGTTTTCTGTGTTACAGGCTCATCAGGAACCAGCCTGTCAAGTTTTAACATCACATTCATATTGTTCAGATAATCAGCTGCTGAGCTCTGAAACTTAAATGTGACAACAGGAGAAACACAAACAGGAGGTGATCAATATTTAAATAAACAGATATTAAAAACTTCAGCAGACGTCACACGAGACTTAAACTGTTTCTTCTCTCTCGTTTTATTGTCACACTTGAGAATGGGCACAATCGACCTTGTGCTTCATAGCAGCAAACCTTCTCATGCAACATGTACCGAACATCGGCATCGTATCTATATAACTTTGTTTCCCACTGAGCTCAGCATCTTCAGCAACTAGCTGACTTCCTCTGGTCTGGTTCTGTGGTGTCTGTGGCAAACAGGAAACACGGTACAGAAGAAGTGAGCTACATGCCACTCGGTTTCTCTCGCACGCTACACTGACTCTTTTTTTTATTCAATAAACTGAACTGAAAGATATCAACATGATACTGAGAAAAACAGTCAGCAGATAATAATAAATGTTGATATAAGCTTCCCACACTCGAATCAAAAAGACCGATCACTCCAAAGTCTAGAGTGAACAATCGAAGGGGGAGAGATAATGGAACAGCAGTCACTGACTGTGTGTGTGAGAGAAAAGGAGAGAGAGCACTCCATTTCTTGATTCACATAATGTAGGCTAAACTAAAAAAGCATGTTATTATTACCAAAATGTTGTGTTTAACTTTTCTTGCGGCTAGGCTGGTAGTCCCAAGTGCTGGACTAATGTTGGTGGCTGCAGTGTAGAGCAGGAGGGAGAGAGAGTCCAGAGGGTGAGAGTGTCAGGATTCAGATGAGTGAAAACAGGGGAAACGCAAGACACTAGAGAGCCGACTTCAAGTTCAGGGATTTTAATCCAAACAAAAACAAGTGATGCAGCTTACAGGTTGCAGAGACTGGCAAACAGGCAGAACACATGTCACACTACACATGACAATGACCGAAACAGCAATGAGCAGGTGGGAGCAACACAGGTGAAAGACATGAGGGACTAATGAGAAACAGGAACAAGCAAACAGACATGAACACCAGACGCTGACTACTTCAAAATAAACTAGGAAGGAAAGAAGGCAACAATAGACCAGGACCAAACCAAAACGCAGAATACAAACTGGAACTGGAGCACAGAACTAACCATAGAGAAAGACTACAAACGTAACAGGGAAAACAGACTGAACTAGGATCAAACAGAACACAGAACTAGGAGTAAATACAAAGACATTAACTAGGACACAGAACTAAAATGCATGACTAAACCTAAGGTACGAGACAGACAGGTACTACGTGAACTAAACAGAACATGCAAATGAACAATGGAATAAACAAGGCTAAACAGAAGAAACACAAGTCAAGGAACAAAACCCCAAAACAGAAAACATGAACCAACTGCTAAGCAGAACGAGGTAGGGAATAGAGACAGGACCAACCAGGAAACAGAACTACACTAAACCTGGAACAGATCAGAAATAAGGAAATTACCAAAACACAACAGACTAAACACCTGATACTGAACTGACCGATAAACAAATCTCACAGGGAGCTAAACTAAGCATAGCAGGCAGGCACACTGTGTGACAGAGGGGCTGAGCAGGTCCAGACCAGATCACTGGAATATGTTAACTGGGTGGGGGTCCAAAGAACAGACGGGTTGAGCGCTGTCTCCGGTCAAACCGTTCTCACTCCCCGACTCGTCACATGTGGACGCATGGCCAAGACCCATCGTCGTCAGTTTGTAACGCAAAATACCTTAAGCATCATAGTTTAACGCAGTGGGGGGAAGCCCTGTAGCATCAGTTTTTGACGGTAAAGGTAGGTATATGATATTTAAAAGAAAAGACTGAGTATGGTGGTTGGAGTGGTTAAAATGAATGGAAGGCCAGAACCCGGACTTTGAAGCAGGAGAGTGGTGAAACAAAAAGTCTGCATTAAATATTATATATGATTTTGTTTCTGTGGTCACATTTTCAGCATGGTACTAACTTCCTTTGGTCTGGTTGTCTGGTGTCTCTGCAGCAAACAGGAAACACAACTTCAAAAGAAGTGAGCTACATGCCACTCTGTATCTCTCATGTGCCACACTGACTCTTGGACTGAAAGATGATACTGAGAGAAAACCAGTCAGCAGATAATAATAAATCAATCAGAGAGACAGATCACTCCAACAAAGTCTAGAGGAAGAGAGGTTTTACTGAAACAGTAGCCGTGTTTCCATCAACGTTTTTGCCTTTGTCCAAAAACTGTTAATGTGCTAAATGGGAGATGGAAACACTTTTGCCGAGTAAGTTCTGACGTAGCGTTGACATTTCACATGAAAATTGGATGGAAACATGGCTAGTTTGATCAGAATATCCTGATCCAGCAGTTATTGATCAGGAGGAGGAAACATAATCAAAGATGGCTCCTCTGAGAGACACGAGACCCTAAATGACAGTCGAGTGGAGACTCAGGAGACAATCTGTGACTGAAGGAACATGAAGGTTTTTACCTCGGATTGATGATATAAAAGGAGTTCACATGCAGCTGCTGTGTAGAGACTCTGTGATCATCAGAGGAAGAAAAAGGAAAATACTGCTCTGGACTTTTGTCATGTAAACCATCATCGTGTCCACAACCACAAGCACAAAGCAGACAGCCACCACTACTCAATGTGCATCTTTGCACTGCAGCAGATGGAGATAATGTTTCATGCAGAGTGTTGAGTTCAGCCAGACAGAAACAGAAGATTGATCTGAACTTTCAATTTGCTTTTGATTTAAACTTCAGTGTCTTCAGATATACATGAACAAAACAGCAGCAGTCTGTTGGCATGTTAGTTTCTACTCACCAACACTAAAGAGGAACCCACATTCAGATTGAGAGGTGGGGGATGGTGAAGTTAAAATGAGCCACATACCACAATCCACCCTCTAAAATGTGAGTCATTTTGTCTCAGCTACAATACTTACAGTCATCAGGTTTTTGTCTCTTGGTTACATCTGAAAAATAGACAAGATGGCGAACAAACAAGGCAAAATTCATCTACAAATATAAGTTTTTAAAAGTTTAGTAGTTTTTTCACTTCAATTTCTGAAAAGTTAGCAAGAATTAAACACTTAACTATATTATTAGCCTGTAACTGTAACCAAGTTTGTTTAGTATGATTTCTGAGGCTTCTGTTATCCATTTGCCTTTTCAATAGCTAGCTAGCAGACGCTAAGGCTAGTGACTGAGCGCCAGAAGAGACGCAAGACGGCGTGCTGACATCACTGCTGTAATTGCTGCCCTAGAAGACTGTTGTTCATAGAGATGCCTTCACTCAACAGTAATGCCTTCTGAGGCACCTGTCTATTACGTAGTGTTACAACCCGGCTTGTCTTGGAGAGCAGAAACATATCATTGGGATTGGAAATGAGGTGGAATATGACAACTAGGAAGTTTTGGTTAAAGTCAGGTGTTGGGGTTGATTGAAGATTCCTGATTGGTACGTTTGGTGAGATCACAGACACACCAATCACAGACGGCAGCGAATAGCAACCAGGACGTAGGTGGTCTCAGCTCCAGAGGGACCAATCCTTAACAGGGAATTACGCAGCTGGATTTGCATAACCTGCAGGATCACTAATGGAAACGGCAGCCAGTAGCCAGGCAGTGAGGCAACTGTCATTGCCATAGCAATGTGTACGCATCTTTACAGAGACCTGCTCATCAACTGTCCGGATCAAGCAGTCAATGGGTGCACCTTGTTACAAGCTGTCAGAGTAAGACTATGGAAAAGATGAGAGGAGGTAGACTCATGTTTACATCGATGATGCTTGGAGCTCAAACAGTCAGGAAGGACTCCTCAAATGTGTTTATGATAAGATGAAACCATGTTATCATCTTGTTGCTGCTGTTTAGATTCTTTCAAAAACTGAATTATTTCCTAGGTGTAAACATGTCGGCTATGTACATATGTTTATAAATAACTGTATAAAGGCCTGTGTTTTATAATATCATTTAATATTTTACCCTATTCTAATATACATTTAATTATGTGTTCATTTCTGGGTGTGTAGTACGGAGGGAGTACAAATCAACTCAGTAAGTCAACCCAGGGTTTCCCTATCCAGGCGTGAGCGCCTTCACATAAAAGAGGCGTTGTTAGCAGCAGATGACCAATCACAGACATGAAGAAGTCCACTGTCAGCAAACTGTTATACAGAAATACAACATGGTCTAAGTAGCACAGCTGCAGCCGACACAAAGAGGGAGACTCGCCGACAGTGTGAATGCCTAAATGAACAGGTGTAGTCTTAGCCAAAATCTACCCTGACAGATCAGACTCATGCAATCGATGTAAACAGTCACCTACTGACTGCAGCCATGTTTGTGTTTTGCCCACAACTGTTGGATTTCTGGACCTCAACTTTTGAAATATGTAGCAAGCTGTCAGGCCAAATCATAAACTTTGACCCCCTTATTGCCCTCTTCAGCACAGCTCCCACACACGTAAAATGATTGCTTATTAAATGGACCCATTCTACGCCTCCCACTCATGATAAATGGATCCATGAGAAAAATCCGGCTTTTTCTTGCCATTTCTGGCATTTTTCTTTTTCCTTTATTCTCAATTTAGTTATCTCTTTATAATTTATTTATTTACATTGTAGTTTACAAACGGAGAATTAAAACGAATACGATCTCCGTCCACACCAGCATTTTAGCTGCGTTTTAGAGTTGATCTATGCATGTCTATTGGCCGTTCAGGTTCACTGGGCCTGCGCGTGCCTGTGCAAACATGAAGCAGATGGTCTCTTCCGTAGTTACAGAAGATTTGACGAAAGAATAAAGAAATGCAGACGAAGAATCAGACCAGATTTTTTTTTTTGCATGTGCAGCACCGTGTTTCTGCTTAAAAGCTCCAATCAGAGAGCGGAGCGTGAGCGTCTGTATCATTGTTTCTAAAGTCCTCCGTTTTGGCCCGTCTTCGCTAAAACACCCTCCGGAGTTTTGAAACGCAAAGTGGGGTCGGCAGCATTTCTAAACTTCTCAATTTTAGGTCTTCGTTTTTGCTGTTTTATTCTGGACGGCCCGAGGGCCTCTGCCAGGTTGTTTGTGTGTGTGTGTCTGTCTGTGTTTGTTGCAGGGTGAACTTCCTGGTGGAGTGGAG